AATCAGTGTAACAAAGAAAATAACATGAACCAGCAAAGAACCTCCCGTCCAGAGTAGAGTTTTTACGTGTGGATATTAGCGAATTGAAGCCAAGTGTGATTTTTTTTTTTAAATCTTTGTTACTTGTTTGAACTTTTTACCCCTTCCATCTTTTTTTTTTTGTTTTGTTTTCCGCTTCAAAGCCGCACATTCCATTTTTCTATTTGATTTACTTTTTTTAATTTTTTTTAGTCAAATTCTAATTTTTATCCCACCGACTCACTTTAGTTTTTGGCTTTTTAAGGAAGACTTGATTTTTTTGTTTCGTCTTAATTTCTTTTTCTTCTTCTTTTTGAGTTTTACGTGTGACTTGTTTTTTTTGGCAGCCAAGCTTTATTGAATTTTGTTTGGTTTCTTGTCCCGTTTTTCTTGAGTTTTGTTTTATTGGAAATTAAAGAAAAAGAAAATTACATTAACAGCACTAAGGTCGTGCTACTAATGGGGACTCTGAAGAATCACCGCCGGTAAAGAAACGGACCGGGCTGAAAACGGGCCAAAGAAAAGCCGTACCCTGTTTTTCTTGCGAGTTTGAGTACATCAATTGATTAGAGTTGTTAGCATCGGATTTGCCAATAATGGCAAATCCAACGCCGATAAGATCTCCAACGGACGCACAGGAATAACTGATTTCCCCGTACAACTAAACCTTAGTATGGGTTGCTTGCCAGAATTGAACATGTAACAGCAAGTCCATTTTTTCAGACATACCGCTACCTTATAGATTTTATTGACTTATAAACCTAATGTTTGTTGGCATGGTCTGTTGTAAGAAAATGTAACATATCCCGCGAATCTGGCACGAACCTACAATCATAGATTTTTGTGGGTAGAGATTCTTACCACTGAACCATTATCGCCGCCTTACAAATTCTTGCCTAATAATTGAACTTGAAGTGTTGACTCTTTGGAATTGAAACCACAAACTATGAGTCTGATTAACTTCGCCGAGGAACATATTAATCCTCATTTCAACTTTGACATTCACTATAAAATTATTTCAGCAAGCTATTTCTAAATAGAATGATGAAAATTCATATTTTTTGTTTCAAAGGTTTATTTATTCTTAAGACTTTTTTAAACCAGCCATTTGTTTCAAAAAGGTTTAAAATCCCAAAGTTTTATTATTGTTATGTAATTATTTTGAAATTAACTTCGACGTGTCAAAAATATATCCGCCGTTTCTGGGGTCTGAGGTTAATTTTTTTTAAAGATATAATTTATACGGTTAACTGGTTATTTTGCACTTGTTTATTTTTTAACATGGCCTGTTTAGAGTTTGTTAGTGATTAGTCAGACCGTTACAAAGTTAAAATTATGATTTCTAATCAAATAGTAAGGATGGGTCATTTATTAATTTATTAGCAGGTTTGAAAAAGACGGTTACAAAGAAGACTGATGACGTGCTGACAGGGCGCATTCGACTGCTCTTCTGATGCTGTTGCTCATCTGCTTCAGTTTTCGTTGGCTTGTGTATTGAGAAATAATTTTCTATAAACATCCGTTATTTGAGCTTCTGTTGCCTTTCTGTCAGTTTGAAAGAATCTGTATATTCTCTTCTGCCATCTTTCATCGACAAGAGATTTTCAACATTAACTCATTTCTTGCATAGAGACAAATATACGTTATTGGATTCCTGAACACACGAATCCTACAGTCACTGTTGATAAACTAATCACAACTTACACCAAACTGACTAATTACTAATCAATTTTATGAGGTTATAAATATTACGTTTCTTGATATAATATAATCCTAGAAAAAGTTCACGTGAAATTCAGAACAAATTTGCAAACAGGACCTAAAACACAATTGATCCGAAAAACAATTTTTCCTACATTCATTTTCCTCGCGGCGAGCAGTTATCTGAATTAGGTGTGAAATTTAGCTTACAACTACGTCCACACACTTCGTCATCGACAGCCGTCTTAAACATATAAATAGCGCATAAATTTTCAGTTCAGGATGGAGAAATCCACCAGCTTCTGAACTTCATGTCGGCAGATGGAAGGAAAGAAGTCACTCAAACCTTTATTCGGCCGCTTCTTCATTGAGCGCGACTAAAGAACGAACTCACTGATTCCCGACATCGTCATGGTAAACATGTCAAGAATTTGGAACACCCCATATTAGTGACACCAATTAAGTACTGTTCACTGAAATTTTTCTTCCTACATTTGATGTCGCTAATGTTACTAAGGAAAAGATATTTCGAACTCTTCACATTGAGCCCAACTGTGAAAACCATTTTTACCTATATACACGAACACTAATACCGTACACAACCAAATCACACTCACGCCCAATACATAATGTCGTTTGAGAATAAATTTTATTTTGGATTTGGTTAATGTGATTTTTGCCTTTCTTACGAATTATTGTTTTTAAATGATAAATTTTGTATGTTTGGGACTTCGGTACTGACCAGGTGTTTCATGCCCTCAACAACATACGTATATATTGGCTATTCAAATATTTGACGAAAAATAAATACTTATATTTGATTCAATTTCGCATTGAAACAAAAGCATAGCACCAACCGCTATCATCTTGCGCGCAAGGAAATAGTATTTTAATAAAATGCGTCTTTGGCTGAGATCAAACCAACACATACTTTTCGTAATGGAAAAAGGTCAAGTTTTTTCGACCTAACCGTTAGTCCATCAACGTTACAATAATAAAGCATTACTTTCACAAAGACAAAATTCATAAACGTATACTTGAACACATGAATCCGAAAGGTACAGTCGGCAATCTTACTACTGACCTACACCGAACTTCAAATTAGAAGTTTATAAATCTTACATTTCTTGGTATAATATATTCCAAGAAAAAACAACTCTGCAAATGTATTAGACCTTTTATTTCTGAAAGCATTCCTCCTAAGCCATCACTAACATATAGTTGAAAAAAAAAATAGTTTACTTCAATGTTCGAACCCGCACCGCAACCTCCCTAGATAAACAACTTACCACTTCACCACGCACTCATTCGTCCTGAATCGATTGTCGCCACTTATATCCTGTCGTTCAGCAACTGATTGACTCCAGTTTTCATTTAACTCTTTGAAATGATTTTATAGTTATAGATTCGAATCCAAGTTAAGTTTTTAAATATATTATTGCAATTGATTGGTTTTATCATGGAATAAGTGTATTGATTATTAATAGAATTTTTGCAGAAAATTTCAGACTGCTAGTTGCTTAAAGTTAGGATGCTTGTCTCTGTTGGTAATTGCATAATTAAAAGAAAAAAATTATAATTTATTTTATGGAAATATTTCGACTGGCATTAGCCAGTCATGGTCATGTTGCGGACCCGGTAGCGTGCAGTGCTGGTTTATTAAAAAGTGGCCTTGTGCCAGACACTACTTATGACTACCGAATCCACAAACAAAGTAAAAATATTGCGTGAGTGATCTTAGAGAGGAAAAGGGGTCATTCAACAAGTGCATAAATAATAATACAAGTAGATAGCCGGAATTAAATGACAAAAGGCGTCTGGTTGAAAAACATATATGAAATTTTATTAAATTTAAACAAATAATTGTCTTGACAGTTGAGACCATTAGTAAAAGTGTTCCGCGCCAAAACAGAAAACCAAGATGGCCAAGGCTTGAACAGTTCCATCAGAAAGAAAGTTCTGGAAAAATGACTTGTTAAACGAAAGGTGTATGTGTACACAAATAGGAAAAGTACTCACTGTGAAGTTCGATAGTGTGAGTGTATGTAATATTTTTTTAGGTACTGGTTCAAAGTAGTTAGAAGGTTCAAAGGTGTATGAACAGATTATCAACTTTCATTGAGGAGAATTCAGAGTTGTTTGCATCAAGACGAAGTTGAGTCTTGGAATGGTGTGAGGGCGACCGTGTTGTAGAAATCTGGTAGTGAATAGAGGAAAGTTCGAAAGTTGTTCGCATCAAGACAAGAAGTTGGTCTTGGAAAAATGTATATTGACGACGGTGTCGTAGGAACTCGACATTTTCTAGTTGAAAACGGAGAAAAGGTTCAACATGCCGTTGCATCAAGACGAGAATGAGTCTTGGAAAAGTGTGAGGTCGACATGTTGAAGTTTTGGTTAGTTAAGAATAAGATATTCCGGCCCGCGTATGGGTTAGAGGCACGGAATAAATGAGTTGTCCGTCTAACTTGAAAATCGGGATGCAACTGAGTTGGAAACGCTGTTCGTCTGTGACGTCAGGAAAACGCGCGGGAAAAATTCAAATTCTGATTTTAGACGTTATCAGGAGTAGCTAGTAAGCAACCTTCCTCACAACAGCGATTACTGCTATGAATAGCTTAACGTGAGAGGAAGGAGTGCAATCCGCGCGCGCGCGTACACACACGCATAAGTGTGGAAGGAAGGGAGGAAAACACGCACGCGTGTAAAATGTTATTCCACAGTCACTCCTTAATTTGAGTAAAACAGTGTAAAGAAACTAGAAACGCTTAAGAATTCAAATCAAGGAAGATTGGCAACAGTGAGAGGGTTTATATAACGATGCATAGTCTCCAGCGAGCTTGGCGCCAAAAATATAGAAAGATACTAAAATACGCGATTGGTCAGGAAATGGACTAATCTGTGATTTTATAGAAAAATTCAAATTACTGCGATGGCAAAATTGTCATATAATAAGTATCATATATTTATCAACCAATGACATTAAAATTAAAATAGTTCCACAGTGTTTTATCAGTGGCAAAAATGTATGAGTGATTCCCACAATTACCTCGTCCAGATTGAAAAATTCAGGGAAAATGAAAGAGTTTTTTTCAAATTGAACTGTGATGAAAGTTTATGAACTTCTTAGGCCAGTTGGACAAAAATATAGTCCGATACTAAAAATCCTAGTAGGTGCTGGTGACGAAAGCTGAGGATGGCTTGTCTAGAATAAGGGCCATATATTTATGGTTGATTGGTTGATCCAATCGCGTTCAATACAATATGTAATGAAAGTTCTGTTTTTAGGCGATCGATAGAGAAAGTCGATCGGCCGTGGTTAGTCTGTAGTGTAAAGTATAATATTTATCGGTCCGGGCAAGGACATGAAATGGACCCGCATAATGTGGTGTCAGTGGCTTTCTAACAGAATCCTGTCGTACAAAAACGTACTCGCATTCCAGTAAGGAAGGAGGTACATAAACGTCACGTGAAGTGTAACGGGTTGGAGTAAAAGAAAGGGAAGACATTTTCTTCCGAAAATAGGTGATAAAACTGGATGAAGGTTCCTGTGTAGATGTTACGGAAAAATATTGACCTGGTAGTACCAATTGTTGTCCGAAAACTAGATCAGCAGGCGAGCATTTCAGATCTTCTTTAACTTGTGTGAGAAGTGAAAGTAAGACAAAAGGTAAGTTGTCTATCCAAGAAGATTGGTTAGTAGTGCCTATGCTGGTCAAAGCAGCCTTAAGTTGGCGGTGGAACCGCTCAACTAGACCATTGGAATATGGGTGGTAAGGAGTTGTTGATATATGACGAGCTCCAAGTAGGTAGAGTAAATTCTGCGAATAGCTGAGATTGGAACTGCGGTCCTCGATCAGTGGTAATGGTAGTGCTGTTGAGTGGGACGGCAACCGGCCATCTCGTAAATCTATCTATAATTGTCAAAATGTATTGACATCCCCGAACTTCCGATAAGGGACCCACTAGGTCCGCATATAGATGTCGGAAACGACCATCAGGGGTAGCAAAACGACCAACTGGTGACTTAGTGTGTCTCTGGATCTTGTTTTGTTGACAAACAACACAACATTGAGTATAGCGAGTAATGTCTTTACGCATCTTAGGCCAGACGAAACGGTCTGCAATTAACCTAAGTGTGGCTTTACAACCAGGGTGGGACAACGAATGAAAGTGGTCGAATATTTGTCGCCGCATATTGGTTTTGACGACGGGTCGAAGATTACGTAGACTGGTGTCGCATGCGATAAGCTCATCAGTAAAGGGCAAGGGATGATGCTCAATATGTAGTGACGATTTTCGAAGTGAGTCGAGCAAAGTTATCTCCCGTACTTGTTCATCCGCGATATTTTCCATGTCTAAAGTATCTTGCAGGCTTTCACACAAGGATGCTCTGGAAAGTGTATCGGCAGCAATGTTATCCTTTCCTTTAATGTGACGTATATCTGATGTAAACTGAGATATATAATCAAGATATCTGTAGTCTCGAGGATTCTACTTGTCTGATTTAGTTGAAAGGGCAAAAGTGAGAGGCTTGTGATCTGTGTAGATCACAAAGTGTCTACCCTCTAAAAGGTGTTTAAAATACTTGACAAGTATATAGCTAAAAGTTCCCTGGAAAAGTTACTATACTTCTTTTGTGTGGACGTCAACTTAACGGAGAAGAAAGAAATTGGCAAAGATTTAGCGTCAACATGTTGGTGTAAAACTGCGCCTATGGCGTCAGAAGATACGTCAGTCGTTAATGATAACTGAGTGGTAACATTGTCAGTGAGGCATGAAAGTTTCGTAAAGTTGACCAATGATTTACGAGAGTTGTCAAATGCTTGCGTTGTATCGTTGTTCCAACAAATAGGAGTATTTTTACGGTCTTGCCCGCGAAGGATATTTGTCAGGGGTGCAAGAATTCGTGAACAACGTGGGATGAATTGACGATAATAATTGATTAAGCCAATGTATCTGCGAAGTTTTCGAAGTGTGGAGGGCTTCGGAAATTCCTGGATAGCACGTATCCTTTCAGGCAGGGGAGTAATACCTGTAGCATCAATGACGAAACCGAGAAAGTGGAGTTGCGAAACGGCAAACTCACACTTCTCTGGGTTGATTTTTAAACCAAAGTTCTGAAGACGATCAAAGAATTGCTGAATATGTTTACGATGCTCCTGTAAATTAGGGCTAGCTATTAGAAGATCATCAATGTATGCGAAAGTGAAAGGTAGTCCACGAAGTACCTCATCTATAAGGCGTTGGAATGATTGAGCTGCGTTACGCAGTCCAAAAGGCATACGCAGAAACTCGAATAAACCAAACGGCGTGGTAATCGCAGTTTTGGGAATATCTTCGTCAGCGACTGGAATCTGATGAAAGGCTTTGCGCAGACCCAGTTTGGTGAAGACAGTTGCTCCCTGTAAGGTAACAGCAAAGTAGGTCAAATTGGGAACTGGGTACTTATCGGGTACCGTTTGTGAATTAAGTCGTTTATAGTCGCCACACAGCCTCCAGGCGCCCTGCTGAGCCTTCGTGACCATGTGAAGCGGTGAGGCATATGGACTTGAGGAGGGGCGAATAATCCCGAGGTCGAGCATGTTTTGGAACTCGGCCCGGGCAATCTTGTATTTGTCCGGCGCAAGACGGCGAGGTTTAGAATAGACAGGCTGTTCGGTAGTTCGAAACCTGTGTACAATGCTGTGCTTGACAGGCTCTGTATAAGTAAAAGGCTGTATCAACGAGGGAAATTTATCCAAAATATCTTGAATCGGATTATCACGCAGCACAGCGATGCGTAATTCTGTAGATGTTAGCTGTGATACAATTCTGCGGTTAGATAGCTTCGTGGTGGAGTCAGATAACTGACGCTGTGAGAGGTCCACGATGAGTTGATAATGTGCCAGAATATCGGTGCCTAATATGGGGAATTTCACGTCTGCAACGGTGAATATCCACTGGTATGTCCTTCTAAGTCCAATATCCAGTGTTAACGATTGCTCACCAAAAGTCTTGATGTTCGTGCCATTAGCGGCGCGTAAAGTGACTGAAGAGTTAGTCTTAGTGAAGTTGGGTGATGGTGGAACAACACTAAGCTGTGCTCCCGTATCTATCAGGAATGACATGTTAGAATTCCTGTCTTTTATATAGAAGAGACGGTTAGTAATATGTGTCCCAACAGCAGATGCCGCCTTCAAGTGCTGCTGGGATCTCCGAGCTGTATAGTATTAAATAGATCGTGCAACCTGTGCTCATGCGATTTCCCAGTACGGTAGATGATGGCTTCCTTTACTATATCAAAGCGGTTATGAGCAGGAACGGCTTCTAAAAGGTCTAGCACGTCAGCAGCGATCTCTGGTGGCAGCTTCTCGACTATGTACGCGTAACGCCCAGTCTGAGAGTAATATGCTTTGCTTGGAATATGGATTCAGTCAGGGCGAACCACACGTTTACATTAGTCATGTCAAAAATTGGGAGGGTCGGCACGACGGCTGTCTCTTGTGCTGACTGCTCAGCCATTATGAATAAACACGTGGTGTTTCGGCGCGAAGTAATATCTCTCAATAAATTGAATCGGTGAGTCGTCCAAATGTGGTTGGTATAAGGTTCCGATAAGTTGTAGTTACCAATGCTGTACAGAAGTTACTTCCTACGTCGGGTTTACCAGTTGTAGTAGGTACGTCGGGAGTCATCAATTGTAGTAGGTACGTCGGGGTCATCAATTGTTGTTCCTACGTCGGGGTTACCAATTGTAGCGCAGAATTTAGTTCCAACGTCGGGGTTACCAAATGTAGTGGTGCTGTAAGTATTGTTGGCTAGGGTCACAGTGAATATAATAAAGAAGTAAGGCTGTGTTCTTGTAAAACAACACCCCACATGAATCATGCACAAGAAACACGAGAGAAAAATAATGAAGCTCAGTGAACATTAATAAAATATTGTATTAACAATGATATACAACTATCAACAATAAGTATAAAGAAAGTTGCTTCCCTTTTTCCGTTATAAAAAGGGTAAGTTTAGCTAATTAATGTTGAGTACAATATTGAATGTTATTTAACTACAAAGTTCAATTGAAGTCTTAGCTAAATAAAGAATAGTTCCACAGTGTTTTATCAGTGTAGAAAAATGTAATGTTCATCAGTGATATCAATAGGAATTAGTATGATTACTCGATTGAGTGATAATTAAGAATTAAAATATCAATATAGCACCGTGCCTTATTTTCCAAGAATTGAACTGCTGTTGGCTAACAGTGAGAGGGTTTATATAACGATGCATAGGCTCCAGCGAGCGTGGCGCCAAAAATATAGAAAGATACTAAAATACACGATTGGTCAGGAAATGAACCAATCCGTGATTTTAGAGAAAAATTCAAATGACGTGCGATGGCAAAATTGTCATATAATAAGTATCATATATTTACGAACCAATGATATTGAAGGAAATGGAGGTGTGGCACATGTAAGTGATCACCACAATGTTTTTCTTTGAAGCAGAGAGATCCAGACAGAATGGAGTTGTGCTGCATCTATCCTAATGCAGACATTTTTTGTATTTACTATTACCATTTGTTCAGCTACTCTTCTGTGATTGAAATGCTTTTGGTTGGTCAATTTTATTTCCGGATAGTCGAAGTCAATTCTGTGACCACCTTCTGTAATGGCATGTAATGCAATCGCTGAAGTTTTTCCCAATTATTGTTTTTTGTTTTCATTTGAAATTACCTTATCACAAAGTCTTCGATGTTTATCCAGTCGTTCTTTCAATGATCTTGAAGTCACGCCCACATAACTTGTTAAGTAGTTCATGCAATTAATTTTGTAGATCAGATTGCCATTACTTGTAACTGCTCCTTCATCTTTTAATCTGATCAGCGTCCTTCCTATTTCCATAAAATAAATCATTCGTTGGAAATACAAGTTTTTCTTTTAATTATGCTAGTTGCTTAGTTGTAAAAAGCGTGAGGAGAAATTCATTATTTGTCCAGAATTGATTGTCGCTCCTTGTATTGTGCCGTTCAACAACTGATTTCTTTTTACTTAATTCCAGAATTATTAAAATTGTTATGACAAAAACAGCTAAGAACGTCATTAGCGGCTTCGCAAATTGCAGAAGTTTGTTTCCCGTTGACGGTAAAGTCAGTAGAGTTACCTATGAATGTCAAAAAGCAAAAGTAGTTCGCAAGAATTCCCCGTGCACTGTACACAGTCTACAGGCTCGAATTTAGTCAGGTCCTGTTTTTTCTGGTGAATGACTGAACGCTTACTTTTAATCTGAAAACATTTTAAATTTATTATTAGTAATCATTAAATATCGTGCGGATTTAATAATTTCCAACCGAAAATAATAACCTATTTCTTACACGAAGACAAATATTCATTAACAGATTCTTGCTGAACTTTATCACTCGAATCGAGAATCACCGTCGGCAATCCTACCATTGACCTACACCAAACCTACCCATTGTTAACAGATTCTATGAGCTTATAAATCTTACGTTTCTTGGTATAATATTGTTGGGGATGTGCAGAATTTATTAATTATAATTGAGTGAATCAAAAGGAATTTGTGTAGGTTGCGTGACTTTCTGCATCCACAAACAAATAAATAAATGAATTTTAAATACAATAAAAAATAATACATATCCAATTTAGAAACCAATAAAACATTTATATACAATTCAAAATAATATACAAACAGGATATTTGGTATATGTTACTATGGCAAAGTGTGTGTGATATTTTAGGTTTCGGTATGTCTCTCTTAGTATTCGTTGATATTAACAATGTCGATATTAAGTTTTTTTTTTTTTTTTGGTAGGAGTTCTTATAGAGTGATCTACCTTTGAACGTAATAATTTTCTAAATCGTTCAAACGTTGATTTTACTTAATAGATAGTGAATATAATTCACTTTGGATAAGCAAGGTTTGTGATTCGATGTCCACAGAGTTGGTTGAGTTTAAATTGCAAGTGAGTCAGCGTTGATGTTGTTGAGGACCCGGTAGCATGCAGTGCTGGTTTACGCTCGGAGTGGCCTGTGCCAGACACTCTGTGGATGACTACCGAATCCACTAACAAAGGTCAAAAAAAATAAATGTTTGATCTTTATGTAGTTTTTGAAAGGGTCATTCAAAACATGCATAAAAATGGTAAAAATATAAATAGGCAGGATGGAAACGACAAAAACGAGTCTGGTGGAAAACAAATATGAAATTTATTTTTAATAACAATTATTTAGTCTCACCCAGTGGGGACCATCATCAAAGCAAAGGCTGTTTTAGCCAGTAGGTAAATTATATAGGTAGTGACAAGTGGGATGTTAAAGTTCCGCACAAAACAGAAAACCAAATATGGCTAAAAAATGGAAAAGTTTTTCAAAATGAAGTTCTGAATAGAATCTTCTTGTACGCGAATTTAATAATCCACGATTCTAAAATGAAACTTTGCGCGGTAAAATCGATATATTTCGAAAAAAATATGTTGGCAATTTTTCTGTAGATGTTCGTTTGGGTGGGGGTGTCCCAAGTCGGCGTTTTCTTTATAAGTTTTGAAGTCCAAAATCGGCTCACAGGAGTTTTGGCGCAATTTCGTTTTGCACGTGAAACTTTCAAATTATTGTTTAACCAATGAGAACCGCCTAGTACGGTTTTTTGCTGGTTGAAGTTTTCCGTACGTTCGTGAGATATAGATTTCTGTTACTAGGGGTGATAGGTAGGAAAAGGACGAGTCTACAATATGTTCGAAGAAAAAAGTTCACATGAAATTCAGAAGATTTCAATTTGAAATTGAAAGAAAAGTATTACATCAACCGTTATCATTTTGATTGCAAATATATATATATATATATATATATATATATATATATATATATATATATATATGTTGGGATTTATATACACTCAACTCTCCCGACCACTTGTCAGGGTCAAACAGTCCGTTCCTATAAACCGACAGCCCGGAAATAGTTCAAATTATTACATATGAAGGTTTCTTGCAGGACCATCCACACATTTTGAAGGGCCGAACACAGAATTTGGCTTGCACTATTTTGTTTGCTCGCTTTATATTAAGGTTTTGAGTCAGAGTTTTTTTTCTTTTTCCAATTGTTTATTGCAAACTTTGTCAATTCTGTCCTGCTATTTGGTCACATAGCTGCCAAGAGGATTTTACCTTTCACCAGGGTATTAACACGTTTGAATGTAATTAATTTTAAAAACATTATACTTGGCTCCCTATTGTCTATTCAAAAGCTCTATTCTTTACTCCACTCATTTTTTATATAATTTTTAATGAAATTATATTTTGGCTGGATTCTAATCATTGGCCATAGTTTTCATTCTTTAAATTCTTTAATTTTCTTATATACCCTACCGATACTCTATCAAGGATGCAGCCACGAAGTATGTTTTAGTCCATACAAAAAAAAAAACGATTAGCGATCTCAAGAGTTAAAAACACAAATATGTCATAAACTCATCTCAGATAATATAATTGTGGCTCCTTTAATTTTGACCAATGAAAAATTTGTTCCATTGCTATTCGCTTTGTAATTTAATACTATTGATTATTTTATTAATGAGTATGGTTCTTGGATTTGAAATTGTGCAGAGAAAGTTCAATAAGGATACTATTTTAGTGTATTGAGATTTTTTACTATAAAACTGTGATTCCTCTCGGTTCTGCCTTACATACTTTGACGCTTGCCAGGCGCAGGGATCTGTCCCTGCGCTGGTTGAACTGCTATATATAATATGAAACAAGTTGGACCAGCTCTGACGAGATTGGACCAGCTATACTAGCTTGGACAAGCTATGACCAGCTAAGACTAAGAAAAGACCAGAACCTCGTATGAAAACACATAGAGGTCCCCACGTTAAAAACTGACCTTCTGTCACAACCTGAATCAGTGGGGTCAAGTAAATTCCGAATACTATTGTAGTGGTATAATGCAATTTCACAATATCATCTATTTTAGACTGCAATTTTTCTGATGACAATAGATAAGCTGAAAAATCACATTCATATGTTTGCAATAAATGTATCCTGAATATTTTTTTTAAAAGGTTAATACGAAATTTTATTGCAAAGGCAATATAAAATATATATTGGAAAAATAGTTTT